TTAAAGGAGGCCATCAGACGAAGACAAATCGCTCTGGAAAACTCGACGTCAGACAGTCTGAAATTCAGCCGATGAACGACAATCGCCTAGTGGTCCGTAATCCAAAGAGCAGTCAAGCCGGAACCAAGAGTAGAAATCTGAAAAATTGCCTATGAGGTTCAAGCGACTCAAGAGCTGCGTTCCTCCTCGCGAGGCGCAGAAGCGGCGGACGAAAGGAACTGAGAAAGAGCGGGAACGCCGGGGGGGGGGCCTTTATAGGGGCGGGCGGGTGGGCGGAGCTACCGCCAAAAAGTTGCAATTGAAGTTTTGCCTAGCGATACCGGAACTTTCCGAGCTAGATGTGAGGCACAGAGGTAACCTATTTATATGATTCGCAGAGACCATGAAGAAGAAATACACACACACACACACACACACATATAATAATAATAATAATAATAATAATAATAATAATAATATTTATTTGTATACCGCCCTGTGGCGAACCAATCCGGGCGGTTGACAACAGTAAAATATAACATTAAAACATTATAATCCCTCCCCCCCTTAAGAAAGTATTAAACAAAAAAACATAAAACCATAATTAAAACAAACCAAAAACCCTGGTGTCCCTACATATACACACACATATTATTGTTTTATATTAATTTTATTATATATGAGAATAAATTTACAATCTGTTGTTGTTGTTGTTGTTGTTATTGTTATTATTTATTGGTTCATCCAGTAAAGGTTTCCCTGTTTTGTGGATTTGGGATGCTATATGACTATATAATAATAATAATAATAATAATAATAATAATTATTATTATTATTATTATTATTATTATTATTATTATTATTATTATTATTATTATTATTATTATTATTATTATTATTATTATTATTATTATTATTATTATTATTATTATTATTATTATTATTTGTATACCACCCTGTGGCGAACCAGTCCGGGTGGTTGACAACAGTAAAATAAATATACACACACACCCATTACATACATGCACATTATTAATATATTATAATATAATGTATAATCGTGAATGTATTATCCTTATTTTTTTACCTATTATTGACAGAAGCGTAACTACTCTTCTCTTTTGGGAAACCCACTGATCTGCTATGATTTTTCTGAACAGAAGAGGGCATCATTCTTTGTTGCCAGGGTTCTGCAGACGGCGCCCTTTCAAAGCTAAGGGCAGGCAGCGGAGCGGTCGAGGCAGCGGCGTCTCTGTGGCGCAATCGGTTAGCGCGTTCGGCTGTTAACCGAAAGGTTGGTGGTTCGAGCCCACCCAGGGACGACGGGGCCCTTTCCATTTTTAGGCTCTTCGTAATTCACATGCAAATCCTATGTAGTCCTTCAGAAAGGGGCTCGGTGGGCAAATCCGACAAATAAAACCTTACGCAGGGGCAGGCAAACTGTCCCCTTTAAGGGCCGAGGGACTTCAGCTCCCAGAATCCCAGACTATTAGTCAACATAGCTGAGGCGCCTGGGAGCTGAAGTTCAAAATCCCTAAAAGGGCCGAGGAAGCGTCAGCGGAAAGGGCAATTCTGCCATAACCAAGATGGCGGCGGTGGCGTCAAAAGAGGGGCGGGACTAGGTAGATAAGGGCGAGAAAGAGGAAAGAAGTAGTAGTACAGGGCAAGGAAGGCGGTTCTGCCCATAAGCAAGAGGGCGGCGCCGGCGACAAGAGAGGGGCGGGGCTAAGTTAGTAAGGGGAAAGAAGCCCCAGGGAAAAGGGCAAGGGGATTGTGCCCATAATCAAGATGGCGGCGGTGACAAAAAAGAGGAGGGGTTATTTAAATGAAGGGGCTGACTAGTGTATTGCAGAAATACCTGGATAATAGTGATATAAGAAAACCAATGACATCCATCTGTAATATGTAAAGGTAACAACGGATACCTTTATTGGGGCTACCGAAATGCCCAATTACATGTCGCAAGCTTTCGAAGCCACGCTGGCTTCTTCATCAGGCAAACAGGAGGAAATAAATTGGAAGATCTTAGCCATAGGCTTGCATTTTCTGCTGTTTCTGTTCTTAGGAAGAGACCTGTGGCTTCACACAGGAAGGAGGATCCCAAAGAAAGCATCTTCTCCGAATTGCAAGTGGACATAAATTCCCTTTCCCAGTGGCCTCGGGGCCAAAGGAGGAGGTGCTGTATCCTGCCTGCAAACTGCCCTCCCTCCCTCCCTCCCTTCCAAAACTAAGACCAGAAACAACA